ATTTGGAATATATGTTAATATTATTATCAATCTGTAGTGATTTATATATTCTCTTTTGCCTGTCTCTATAAAGTTATATTTTAATAATGATACTATCTAGGTAGATGCTATATTCATATCTGTCAGGAAGCCATTATTTTATTAAGACGGAACCATAGTTCGTAACATTTTTTAACTACGTGGCATTGAAATAGGAGATTTCGTTTCACACTCGTCTGAAATTTGTCACTGACAAACACACACGCATAAGTGTTTGTGGGTGTGGGTGCGTGCGTGTGTGTTTATTCGGAAAAGTAACATGTCAATGAGTTTTACATTCTATTCTTATGCGGATTGAGAATTAAAATTTTTAATTTTTTTTAAAGTCATAACGAATAGAAAATGGTCTACATTTGATTTTTTCTGAAAATAGATAATCGTAACCACAGCAAAAAAGGAAGTTCTGTTTATGGTAATATAGCTGAGATTCATATCATTTATTAGTTTCAGGAGGGGAAATGTTGATCTGGAAGAATTAAAACATGCAGGGAGGCCAAAAGTCTATGATAATGCGTTTCTTTCACATTGATAGATCTTGAATTCTTAAAAATAGTATTCCTAATTAGACAAATTAAAGGCAGGATCGATTATAAGCGTTCGAAAATAGCCAATAAAAAGTGCCATTTCTTTTCTCAGTAACATATCTGAGCTTACAGGTTTTGAATACCAAGAAGAAATTATTTCAGCATGATTGGAACTTCCTACTCGAAATCTGTACTCAACAGGCATTACACAATACACATTACCACTTATACCACAGCCGTATAAAATTCTTCAGATGCGAATTTCTGCGGTTCTTTGGCAAATCTGTAAAAACATTTACACCAGATATTTGAGGACTGAATCATATAACAACAACAAAAATGGTGACAGTGAATGGAAGGAAAAAATATCGCATTGATTAATAAATCTAAACTTACAAAATATAAGTATTTTCTTTTAATTTCTCTACATTCGTAGCTAAACTGTTATAGCACGGTAGGCTATATGAGGGTTTCATATAGAATGCAGGTTCAATTCCTGTCGGAGGACGCATATTCAGGCAGGTATATGTTGTTAATGCAGTTTATTATAAATAGAGCATTTACTTTTTTCACACACACACACAGATATATATATATATATATATATATATATATATATATATATATATATATATATATATATATATATATATATATATATATATATATATATATATGAGAGCGAATCAAGGTAAACTGCCAGAAAACAACACACAAGTGATTTGATTAAAGTGGCGAAGAATTGTGCAGAACCATCCACACTTTTCGGAAATATTGATAGTTATTCGATGAAAATAAATACCATAGTCAAAGCAGTCAATATACCACATAACACCCTTGAGCGATTATCCTTGGATCGGGTAGAATGGAGATCAACGTGTTTAAGTGGATTCAGCAAATATCACTCTGCTTGTCTGATTCATCTTCACGAAGCGAGAGCAACATCTAAATGCTCAGCGAATCTAACAGTGATCTCATCTCACAATTCACACACTTGCTCCATATGTGGCCTCCTTTGTAAAGCATTAGCGGGTCTTAAATGCCACTTAACATTATCGCACAAAATTTCATAACTGTATCAATAATCTGTCAGATCCTCATAGGTCGAAACCGACGGGAGAGTCCATTATATATATATATATATATATATATATATATATATATATATATATAATTAACTTTACGCAGAGTCTCATAGCTCTCCCATTCATCAGATAAAAATTCTTAAATGTTTAGTACGGTTGTTTTTTTTTATGGCTCATGGAAACAACGGTACATTGCCTTTAGATTCAGAGATCAAGATTATTAAAAATATAATACTGCATTGTTGCATAAATTTAAATATAGAATGTTGCTATGTAGATATTGAAAAATAAAATAGCTATTAAAATATGTTTAAAGGGATATGGATCTGCCATTGTATATTGCGTAAACGGATGATATATTGTAATACGAATTAAAGAACATTTTAGTTCTATATAAAATCGTATGTAGAAAGTATATATTGTAAGCTCATGTAATATATATATATATATATATATATATATATATATATATATATATATATATATATTGATGTATTTGAAAATAGTTTGTTTCTCTAAAAGACACATTTTTCTTGTGGAGGGTAAAAGGTTTGGTTTTATCGATGACATCTCCATTTACAACAATTGTTGTAGGGCACCTCGACGTTGTGTAATGGTTGGCAAGCTTGACTCGCTAGAACAATTGCGACAGAGTAGTGAATTCGATACTACGTTGGTACCCATAATTTCGGCCTTGTGTCACATCTAAGCTAAGCTTAGAAACTCGCTACTACACTTGTTTAGAGATTTCTGTTGTATCTCAATTTTTTTTTTATTGATATGAGACATTTTATGGAGGTAATACCAGATTAGCAACGGAACCAAATAAAATGTAGTCTCGCCATTATGTTCAATGTTATCTGTGTAAACAAAGCCCTTAATCATGCATTTGGAATTTAGTGGGCAGGTAATATTTTTTCGTCAATTGCATTTTTCTTGTACTATTATTACTATTGAAGTTGATAAACTTTTGTTTAGCATTAATTCATTATGCTGTGATAATTACTGCTGAAGATTTTTTGTACTGCTCTATCTGATTTTAATGGTGTTCTTGTTAAAAATCTCAAATGCTTGTGGATTAAATTAAGGACAATTTTACCAAATCAAATTATGTTGCGTTTTCTGTGACAGTCAAATTTTTGTCAATGTATTCGAGATTGACTTTGTGTTTGCCTTTTATTAGCGCGTCTACATATTTAGTTTTATATATGTCAATAACTTCTATATTACTTGAGTTAGTAGAGAGATTATTGCATTGCTTTGTGCAAATAGTTTAAAATTCCTGGGGGACAGTTATATTCTTTGCTAATGTATTTTTGATTATAAAGTTCTTTAGTGAAAGGATTATATGTTCCCTTGGATAGATTGTAATTGGCGTCCATAAAGTTAATTAACTTGGCACTGGTGTTAGTGCCAAATATAGTCCATGATCCTTGAAGAATTTACTAAGTTGTTTTCTAAAGCGATCAGATTTTTGTCTGCTGAAATAACGTAGAATGATAACTCCGTCATCTCCGTACAAAACAGAGATGTTGTTATTAAATGTATATCTAAGCCTCCACTGAAGTACTATACCAAACAATTTACAGACTTCCACATAATCGAACGCTCCCAATTCTATGGAGAAGTCTGAGATTTCGTTTTTGTTCCATATGGAACTATTGTGACATAAAGAGGCTTTCTGGGCTTTTTTGATGATTTAACCTCCTCGTCAGTGATGATGCAATAATATCTCGCCAGGTATATAACAGCTACTTGTAGGTCCTCTGTGATCGACGGTGAGCAATTGGAGATATCGAGCTGCATAAAAGTGCATACATTTTTTTAATTTAAAGACACCAACTCAGGGCACCATTTGTATTCGTCCATTGGCTGATACCTGTAGACTTCCTAGCAACTTTGCGGGCTAGCTCAAGTATAAACTTTATGATTTGCCCTATGTTGTATTTGGAAGAGTAAAGCAACTTGGACTGCGTATTATTTGTGACATTAAGGAATATAATATAATTTCAATTGTAATCTATTTATTTTAAATAAATTACAAAGTAATAAACTAAATGAGGTTTGCTAAAAGGCCCAGAGGAGAAAGATACATCATTGCCATATTTCGTATAAAGCGTATTAACATTTCTGATGAGTATATATATATATATATATATATATATATATATATATATATATATATATATATATATATATATATATATATATATATATATATATATATATATATATATACAATATGCGTGTGGAGCGAGAGATTTTGGAGAAGTTTTGCGCAAGAAAACCATTACGTTATCTCATTAACCATCCTTCTGTTATTCCCTTCCGTAATAATCATTTTTTTTTTCCATTCGGTAGAATGGCTTCTGTCAAATCTGGCAGTAGTCTGTTCACGTCTAAATTGTTTTTTTTTCTGTAAAAACCCAGTGCCGAGGCTGTCTAATCTCTGCGAATTACACATGTTTTTAATCATTTTACTCCAATCAAGGCAACAAAAGCCCCTAAGAAGCAAGTGTTACTGCGTGTGAGCGAATATGAGAAAAAGAACACATTATTAAGAATATAAAAAATATAATGGAATGAAGAAAACAAGATAATTATTGACATTACATTTAAATTTATGATAATTATGTTGCATTTAAAGCAAGAATCAGAAAGTGTTTCATCGATCTCTCAAAGACGTTCGAAATTGTTAACACAAAAGCACAAATGCTATGTTTAATTTAATAATGAAAATTGTCTGTCACCTATAATTGCTAGGCATCATCACCTCCATTCACGATAATATGCAAGGTTTAGTCAGCGATGATGGTGAATGTCTAATGCGATTTAATATTCAGACTGACGTAAAACAAGGATGCGTTTTAGCACCAATCCTCTCTGGCATTTTTTTTTTTCATTTTTTGAGCTTTGCGTTCAGACAAGCTGTAGTATATACTTACACTCAAGAAGAAAAGGTAAATAATTCATATTGGCCTACCTAAATAATGTGGACACAGAATTCATCATAGAAATGCTGTATCTGATGACACAGCTCTGAACAAGGCAAATGATCTTCAAAAGTTGATTTGTCAGTTCAACAATGTCTGTATTTAATTCGGACTGACTATTAAGGTAGAAAACATAATGGGACAAGACATTTCTCTATATCTATCAATCAGAATCGATGATATGGCGCTTGATGTCAGATATCACATCAAATATTTGAGTTATACCATCACCAACAATATGTCGCTTGAAGTGGAAATTGACTAACAGCTCGCCAAAAACAATAGTGATAGCAAACTTGAGGGAGAGAGTTTGGGACAAGTCACCTGAGATTGCTAATTTATCTAAAGGTATTTCAGACATGTGTACTAATTTCTTTGTATTAGAGCAACGTCTATCTGAAAACATACATCAGGCCGGAAAAACGTAAGCAAAGCTTCCATCTCCGCTGCCTCCGACGTAAATTCGGCATCAGATGAAGAGACAAAGTTACCAGTCCTGAGGTTCTGGGGAATGCAGACTCCTGGAGCGTGTATATTCTCCTTTGTAAACGTCGTCTTCGATGGTTGGGTGACGTACATTGCATGAATGACGGTCGTATACCGAAATACATCATATACGTTGAACTAGCCACGGAACACCGTACGGTAGTCACTCTCGGTCCCTACGTTTCAAGGAGGTTTGCGCGTGGGAAATGAAGACATACTCATCAATTCTGCTAGCTGTAACCTGATACTAAACGTTAGATGCAGATGGAGACATACTGGTCACGGAGACACTAATAACGGGAAAAGGAGAAACTATATGTTGGAGCTCAGGGTAAAACGAAGGAATCAATGAGAGCAATATCAGAGATTCATTTCACATTCCAGTTTCACTTGGCACACTTGCAGGAGAGAGTATCATGTACAGATTGATCTCCTAAAACACTCAAAATGCTGCCCACAAATTCGACAATGTTTGATGAAAGTGGCCGTTAACATTATCACGCATGATATATTTTTGTCTACAATTGGAGATTCTGGTTATTTTGCGGTAGTGTAGCTAGTCTTGTAAACATTTATCTTTTAATAATCTTTGTCGTCAACGAGAAACGCACAGTTGGACTCAGTCAAACAATGTGTATATCAATATTAAGAGAACAAGAACTTCGATTTCCCTATTCGATATCAATTTTTGATTCTCCCTTGAATTTCTCATCTCATTTTTTCCTCTTGTTTCATTTTCATTTTACTTATGTTAATTTTTTAACTTACTGATAATTTTTTTTCTGTCATCATGCATGTGTTCCTTTTATTTTGGGTTAAATTTAAATTTGTTGTTTTCTTAGTATATTTTTTTATTCGTATATTTGTTTTAGCGTCCTTATATTTTCTCATGCTATTTCATATTTGCTTTTCTGCCTACTTCTGTTATCTCCATCTTCATTTACTGGATTTCCTCGTCTTCCTTTTCCTTCTCTTCTTCTTCTTCTTCTTCTTCTTCTTCTCACAGTTTATCCTTCATTGTTCCACTTATTCTATTCCTCTTTAGGTTTATGGTTTTACAACATCATCTCCGCGTCATGTTATTTTTATCATATCTTCCCTGTGTTTTCTCCTGTTTTACTTTCTCTTCATTTTACACTTTTTCTCTCTATCCTCTTCTTTTCTATCACTAACTTCTTCATCATCTATATTTTCATCTTCTATATCAATATTTTCTTCTTAATATATATATTCTATATTTCGTTCTTCTCTATACATTCTTCTCCATCTGTACCTTCTATATCTAGTTCCTTCTTCTTCTTTTTCTTCTTCTTCTTCTTTTCTTCTTCTTCTTCTTCTTCTTCTTCTTCTTCTTCTTCTCCATCTATATCTTCTATATCTAGTTCCTTCTTATTCTCAATCTATATTTTCTATAATTAGTTTCTTTCCCCTTCTTCTTTTTCTTCAACTATATCTTCTATATCCAGTTCCTCCTCCTCCCCCTTCTTCTTCTTTTTTCTTCTTCTTCTTCTTCTTATTATTATTATTATCATCATCATTATTATTATTATTCACAGACTGCGTGATTAATTCAAATATATATTACATTAAATATTCTTCCCCACGTGTATCCTTGAAGTATGTTAACAATCTGAAAAAGGGACGGGTACAAGAAAACATTTTCAATAATTAAGAAACATTGCAGAAAAATAGCAATAATAATAACTTTATGATAAATGTTAGCAAGCTTGTTTTCCACCTGAATCGTGAGTTCGATCCTAACTAGATGTTCTATACTTTCGTTCTGGTGGCTCAACTAAGCATTGATTTGTAAGTTTTAATATTTTGTCCATTTGGATGTGGTGTAATGGATAGCAACCATGCCTCGCTAGATGAGAAAACTCCTGGGTTTTGAGCTCAAACTTACAGGGTGTTTCTTCCTTTCGGTCTTGTGGTGAAAACACGATTCACTTTGCAAATTTCCATGATTATCACTTCAATGTTTTGAGGTGGTTAACAATATTGTTTTGCTATACGAGTTATGACTAAGTTCGGTCCTCAATTGGTGGTCATTACTTTCGGCCTTGTGTCACAACTTGGCGAGGCTTAGGCTATTTTCTGGTGACTGAAAAAAATATAAAATAACAAAGAGTTTAACATTACTTAAAAAGTTAATATTGTCGTCAATGACAAAAATATCAAAGTTAAACCTGCTGTCATAAAGCCAAGTCCATTTTCGGGGATGAATTTGATTGAAAACGCCACAAGGCAGTTTCCCGTTGTTCCTTACAGAGATTTAATGCCAGGGAGGATATTTCCTTAATAAGCTTGACTGCTTGAAGATCAATAACTCTGGACATCTTGACCGCATGTGACACCAGGTTTGGAAAATGATTTAACCAATTTAAGCTCCTCAGTCATTCGGGCGACGAAAACTCTTGGAGCCGCTGACACAATCGTGAGAACGCATTGATTTGGTTAACGTCCCGACAAAAGCGACATCCTCCAGGGAAATAATCATTTATAACAAAAAACTCATTTATAACCATGCTGTTTATTATTTCCTCTGTACATGCATTTCAGCTTCTATTAAGAATTAATTTCTCCCAATATATATATATACATATATATATATATATATATATATATATATATATATATTAAATGAATTAGTCATACAAAAGAATAAATTAGTAAGGTTAATGTAATTAATTGCGAATTCATTTCGCTAAAAAAGTTTAAAAAGTATTAACCCACTAACATCTTATTGAATAATGCGAAGATTCATTTTAGATGTTCGTAGGTTCCAGAAAAGAAGAATAATCTCCATGACCGATAATGCAAGGATGACTTACAGAAAGTACTAGCATATTTATGGAGTATAGGGAAGATCTAAAAATCGAGTTGTAACTGGGTTAATACATTTTAAATTGGTTAGCGAAACGAATTCGTCATTTATTATATTAACCGTTCTAATATATTCTTTGTATAAATGCTTATTTTAATATTAATTATATTAAATTACACTACACCAATCATATATATATATATATATATATATATATATATATATATATATATATATATATATATATATATATATAAAATAATTCACTGAGTCTAGAAGAAACCTCATCAGAATGCAGAAGTCACTGGACGGCCGTTTCGTCTTATATTTGGGACGCATCAGCAGTGCGCATCCACTACCGATAACTGAAAACAGGACTGTTACGATATGAGGCAAACGACATACTATCTGTACGAACCGGTACCGGTGACGAAAAAGTAACGAATAAGACTCAATAATGCGCCGCTTGTTCACATATTCCGTGATGGAACTCATCCGAGTTCCCTTTACCCATATGACTGTGCCCTCGAGAGCTACGGTTACTCTCCACAAGCCGTTTTTTGACACATACTCTCAGAAATATATATATATATATATATATATATATATATATATATATATATATATATATATATATATATATGTGTGTGTGTAAAGTATATTCAGAATTAACCTGGAAAAATAAAATATTTAGTAAGTAAGAAAGAAAATAGACCAACTTTGCACATTTAGCCGACGCGTCCAATGTGCAAACAACGAAATGGATTTTTTGAAATAAATATCTATAAAAAAAACCGTTCCTTCGTGAAGAGAAGAATTTAAAAACGCTATTTTGAAAGTGAAATTTTGTCTGTAGTTTTCATTTGTTTTTTTTTTAATTTTTCATCTTTTTAAAATGAAACTTTTAACATTCCTTGTGTTTGTCAAAAAGTCTCTTTTAAGTTGTTATTTGAGATAAGAGCTGGATAGATCTATGCTGCTCTGAATTCCCCTGGTCAATTTGACAGTTTCATTGGTCCTGAAGAGAGGATCTGTCTGCGTTAAGTGTTTGTGTGTGTTATTTTGTTCTTAGGGCGTGAGTGAGTATGATATATGTAAGCGTGTATATTGCTGTGAGTGTGTCATCATTTGGCTCATTAGGGAGTGAGTGAGTATGAAGTAAGTGTGTGTATTCGTGTGGGTGTGTGTATAAGTGTGAGGTCTCAACACCTCCGTAAGCATGTCTCTCATGTGTGGGTGAGAAATGTGGGTAGGTTTTGATTTGTAAAGTTATATATTAGTACTATCTATATTGTTAATTTATGGTTTAGCCAGGTCGGATAGCGTGTTTTTAGTAGCCACTTATTTTCATGGAACTCTAAAATCTTTCTAATGTTATCTGCTCTGAACCTTGTTGAAATTTTCAAGTCCATATATTCGCTGAAAGTTTCAAAATATGATGGAGAGAAAAATAAATATATATATATATATATATATATATATATATGGCTAGACAGAAAAAATGATCTTTCAAAGAAAACATCTTTCTGAAATATTCTATCAAATATTTTGAATGCAATAGCGACTTTCTTTTCGTGCGCATGTGTAGACGTGACAAAATCCACAAAGCCCATAGTGATGACATCATTACAGTTGAAACGCATCACAGGCACTTTTATCCAATTTGTCCTATATATGTGATATGGGTGCCTATATATATATATATATATATATATATATATATATATATATATATATATATATATATATTTTTTTTTTTCTCTGCCCATTCTAGCCTTCTCGCAAGATTTTTATTTTATTGGGGTCTAATTTGTTGAAATAAGACCCTAGTCTATATTGTTTTTCCAAGCGCTTTCGACCTTCATCTGGGCTGTATATTTGGTTTTGAAATAGATTGCTCATTATTTTTGGTTTTCTACATATTTTGAGGGTATTTAGATAATGATTATTAAACGGTAATGTTCCGTATCCTTTAACAACACATGCCTTATCATATATATATATATATATATATATATATATATATATATATATATATATATATATATATATATATATAGTACAGTGACGGATGGTAGTGAACTGGAAAGAAACATATGATTTGCTGGTAGTCACATTGAATAATGTTATTAATACAACGTTAATACCTGACGTAATGCTATAAAATTATATATATTTATTAAAAAGAGAAGAAAATGGCCATATCTTATAATCAATATAATCAAATAATATGATAAGAAAAAACACATGTATTAATAAAGCGGGACCGATAAACAAATTTTAAAAAAAATACGTCGAAGCTCGTCGATGAAATATTAAATCTCTGTACTTCCATTAATACGAAAAATTGAGGATATAAAACACACACACAAACTCAAAGCAGCACAGACTCATACACACACACACAAATATATATATATATATATATATATATATATATATATATATATATATATATATATGTATGTGTATGTATGTATGTATATGTATATGTATATATTGTGTTTTTCAAGTATTAATAATGTACATACATATGGATATCCTATCTATCAAAAAGCTATCGAAGCTGTGTTTTGTACTGTTTTTTTTTTAATATTTCCGAGTAAAAAATAATATAATATCCAATAATTGATTAAAATTGGTTTATAAATTGCATTACTTTTCCGATATGAAACTAAGCAGATATAATTTTCTTTTAAAATCTGAACGAGTTAATGTGCAATAATGAAGCCATGGTTGACGGTGAAGCTTTCCGTAGACGAACGGTGATAGTACACCGGATCAGTTGGTGTTTTTTCCCTGCTAATCCAGACGCAGATTTGTATGTTGCTGCAATGCAATATATATATATATATATATATATATATATATATATATATATATATATATATATATATATATATATATGTGTGTGTGTGTGTGTGTGTGTGTGTGTGTGTGTGTGTGTGTGTGTGTGTGTGTGTGTGTGTGTGTGTGTGTGTGTGTGCGCGTATATATATATATATATATATTATATATATATATATATATATATATATATATATATATATATATATATATGTGTGTGTGTGTGTGTGTGTGTGTGTGTCTGTGAACGTGGAGACTGTGACAACACTGAGTGTTGAAAGCATGTTTGATACCTGAATGCAAGCATCAGACTATGTTAGTTTTTTTAAGCTTGCTATTTATATATTTTTGTTCAATTGTGCATCATGGTCTAGCTAGATGTAGTGTATTATCCTAACGCTTACTGAATAGATGTTAAGACTAATGTTTCAATTTACTCTGGAGGTTATTGAGTAGAAATAATTGGGTATACGCAAACTACAATTTTATCTACATTATAGTTTTCCTTTTTAATTTCAGTTTATTTTTAATCATAATTTCTTTATTATTATTATTATTATTATTATTATTATTATTATTATTACAACTACTGCTACTATTACTTGTTTTGATTTCTGTAGTATACACATTTTTTTCCGGATCCTAAAATCAGAAATGAATTCTTGACATTGTTCACTGATCACTTTTTTTTTTAATAAGATTTCACGTATTTCTTAGAGATAAAGTTTTTAATATGTACTGTTGAGTACAATTTGTTTCATTTTATTAAACCGTAGCATACCAGGAATCCATTTAATGTGTCCATCGGAAATTTTCCAATCAATCAGTGAGTTCCAACTACAACTGGAATTACTGATGTCCTCGTGTGTTACATTTTTTAGATTTTCACTT